GGAACTGCTTCAGTGCCACAGGGAGCCCCGAGGCTGGCACTGTACCCACACTGCCGCTCACTGAAAGCCCAGCGTGGTGTTGGCACGTCCCAGAGAGCACAGGAACACACACGGAGCACCAGGGAATGGGACAGCATTTCCCTGGCACAGCTCTCACAGCCCATTTCACACGCATCTCCCACAGCTGGAACTGGCACTGACCTAGTTACTGACTGCCTTGCTTTCCACATTTCCACAGTAAGAGGGGATATTAATGCACCGAATAAAAGAACCATCCCTGACTAATCACGTTAGCAGAGCAAAACCCAGCGCAAAAGGCAAGCAGGACAGTGACTCCTCTGTGAACAACCTTTGTGGCACAGGTCAAAACCACTCACTTTTTGAAACACTGAGGACTGAAAGCGTGAAGCAGTGACACATGTTTACACATCACTGAAAATTCAGAGGAATGTATTAACAGTATTCTATTTATTTATTCTATTCTATCTATTTATTAGTAAATGCATTTCTCTAAAGAGAAATCCATTCAGCAACGAGTATGAATTATATCCCAGAACAATGTCACATAGGGAAGTCCAGAAGTTGAATTAACTTTACATCAAATATTCCTAATGGAGATGACCTTCTGACTATTCACAGAAATTTTAAGGAGAAGCCTAACACCACGCCAGGAGATACTACCAGAGAAGAGAACTAGTTGAATCAAAGTTTCTGTCCCCTTTGTTTCAAAGTGTTATGTTCAGTTTCTCATTGAGGTATCTGTTTAAACAAAGCAGAAAAAGATAATGGCTGGTTCTGCCCAAGTTCACCTGGTCCAGGCAGCACAGAACAGAATCTCAAGTCCCCAAGTTCCAGCCAGCCCGACACTAAATGTATTTACTTAAATGTTGCAATTACCTCACACAGGGGAAAGTGCTGTTTGCCATAAGGTTTATCTCAGAGGTGTGCTTTTACGAGGGGGAAGGAAAAAAAAAAAGGGTGTAACTGAGTACATTTTTCACCCTCAGGTTTCAACAAGTATTTCGTGATGAATTTAAAAGCAGCCATGAGGTGTGTGAGGCTGACTTTTCCCACTGGGTGGGGTGCATTTCCTTGCAGTCAAATAAACTTTCAGAATTTTCTCATCAACTTGTCAGCAGCAAGGGCACCTCACTCCCTAAACAATCTCAAATGACAGTTGCTGAACACATTGAAAGTTCAGGTGCTCTTAATCACACCTGAACTCTGCCTGTCAGACTTATGTGCTTCTGGTAATAAAAGCACAACATTCCATCCAAGCTGGATTAAATCAGGCATCTAAGCCTTTTCTAATGCATGGGCTAAAGCTGTAAGCAGACTGATGTGGTTTGAACTGTAAGCATTACTTCACACTTAATTAAGAAGGGCTGGAATAACTTCTGCCACGGGTGCCACCTTATTTTTGGGAACAAAGTCAGCTTTGTTACGGAGTAGAATGTGATAACCGGTATCAAAGGCACCAGAACAGAAAGGCAGCCACGTGAGGTGCTGTGGAAGGGGTGTGGGGGTGGTTTTGTGTCTCTCTGCTGCTGGTCCTGCACTGAGCCTGCCCCGCTTACCGTCGGGGTCCTCGGCGGGCTGGATGCTCATGTAGGGCTCCCCCTTCTCCATGCGCGACTGCCTCTGCCGGCTCTCCTCCTCCAGCGCGGCCTCGGCGCGGCTCTTGGCGTTGATGTAGGCCAGGTAGGCAGGGGAGTTGTGGTAGGCCTTCATGGACTCGTTGTACTCGATCTGAAACGTGACCAACACGGTTTGATGGCACCACCGGGCGACCCCCGCCCCGACACCACCGTGCCCCCTGTAACTCACGGGGCCGCCCCGGCTCCTCTGCCTGACACACCGGGGACCAGGTTCTCTCAGGCTTTCTCTTTTACAAGTCAGAACTCCTTCCATAGTCCATTCATGTTTTAAAAACACAGTTAGGCCTTTAGGTCCATTCCAGTTAGTTTACTAACCTGAAAGTGTCTTACGACAGGTTTGTTTTCTGAGATTGCAAATTCAAAACACCTCAGAACAAGGTGATCGACATTTATGATCAAGCTCTGGTTAAGATATAATTAACAAACATAAAATATTCTCAATAATTCTCTGGAGTTCTAACTAGATCTGTGATTCTGATTTCTTCTCTTTCCTTATTCCAGTATGTCACGAACCAGTTTTCAAAATCACTTACGATTTGTCCATTCTTTGGCCCATCCCTGCACTGGGATGACACAGAGAGCTGCAGCCAGACTCCTGTCTCCTTCTGCAGCAGGATGGCAGCACTATCTTCACCTTCTTTGAAATACCTTCTCCCTTTGAATTGCTTTCTTTAATCTCACTTTTAAGATTTTTTATAGTGATTTAAGGTATTTCCAATGAAAAAGGAGATATAATCTACGATATTGTTAAAGGTACCTAAAAGTCTTGTTTTCTTTATGATGAGGACCAGAATCCTCCTGCCTGGGCACTGCACAGATAGAAACCAGCTGGCCCCTGCCCCAAGGAGCTTACAATCTAAACAGCATTACCAAGGTAAAAGATAGAATTCCTGCATTTTTTCTTTCAGCTACGAGCACCCAGTTTGCAGTACTTCTCTACTGCCTTGGAATAGAACCAGCTGAGATTTGACCAGGTGTCCACAGCCCCAGATGCCTGCCAGGTGTAAACACAGCACATCAGCTGGACAGTTCTCCCCTTTGTACCTGAGAACCACAAGAACAGCCTTGTACAGGTGCTCAGCACTTACCAACCTAGACACGAGGAGCTGTCATCTCTTGTCATTAAGATCAATAAAACCAAAACAAAAGCACAAGAAAACCCTACAAGTGGTAGCATTTTCTACTAAGAAACAAGACACTAATGCCACAGTGTGGAGTTCCACCAGGTTACACCAGGAAAACCAAACCCCACGTGACTGGAAGTCTCTTATGAACAGCAGTAGTTGCAGAGCACCAGTTTTGAAAGAGGATTTTGGTGTTGAGACAATCTTTTCAATACTGATGTTGTACAATCAAATCCATTCATTAAACAGTTAAAATCGACACTCAATTATAAATACTTCATTTTGAATTAGGTCTAAAAACTGACCAGTCACAGTTGATGCACAGTTATTTAAAAAAAAATCTAAGAGACGTGTCAGGACAAACTTCCACTTAAGTTACATACAGGGCTCTCGTGAATGCCTCAAACACCCCTGCATGGGGAAGATGAATTTTTCTTCTCAGACCAGTTCCTAGAAGAATCAGCTGTAATAAACATCCCAGATTTCTTCCATTTACCTTTTCAGCTTCATATTCATTCAAATACTCTTGCTTCTCTTCATCAGTGAGATCTCGCCACATTCCTCCAATAATCTTGCCAATTTCCCATAACTTCAAATCAGGATTGGACGCCTTCACTTGGTCCCAGACCTTAACAGAAACAGCTGGAGCTTTACTAATGATATCTAAATACTTCCAAATTAAACATTTTATATTGTCATCTCAGTGTTCTTTCTGGAATCACCATGAAAAACAGGATTAAGTTAGGAATGAGTCTGGCTAAACTATCTGGATTATTTTCTGGGGCAGGAAGTCAGTAGGAAGCCAGCTACTGAACCAGGCAATTGCTGAGTGGCTTTGGTCTCATGGGAATATTGCCTTTAACCCTCTCAATTCTCTTCTTAAATGCACATCGCTGCATCTCGGGGAAAAAAAATGCTACTGAGTAAACACATCCAGCAGTAGATTATGACAAAGAGACTGAGCTTTTCAGATCAGAATGTAACATTTCACAATATTTCAGTCTTGCTGATCAATCTGAGTTCCAACAAGTTCTGACTCCACCAAAAAGGTTTCTAACTTTATAGGGAAAAAAAAAAAAAAGGAGAGCTGCCAGTGTAATTTCTTGCTGCACCACTTGACTTTTTTTTTTTTTTTTTTTGTGTGTGTTGATGTTTTTTGGCCTAAGACAGACAGGCTGGTAAAGATACTTTACCAGAAGTGGAAGAAATTCCTTCTG